CGCCACATGCGTAACGCGAATCCCCAAGGAGTACCCCGAGACCCTTAACAAAGCGTCGCCGTTCCGTAAGAAGACCGCACACACACTGAGTCGCCCATACAACTGGATAAGCGCCACCCCTTGGTAACCAGAACACCCTACGACCGCCACGCAGCAAGGGCTAATGGGAGGCAAGAGTGCGAGGTGATGGCACTCCACAGGGCTTCACCCATGCAACTCATCCGTAACGCGAATACCGAAGAGTACTTCCGAAAACACACCGGGAGGGATCACGACCCAAACCAGAAGCACACAGTAGGCGTGCCACCGGAATGAGCGCGAGGTCCCTCACTGAAGGTCGGACGAAGGACACCACAAAGAGGAGGAACTCAGGAACCGGAGCTGCTTATATCGAACCGCAGAAGTCGCAGAACCAGCTGGAACACGGTTTCACACCGACACAGGCTCATGGAAGGCATAGGGGATCTTCACACTCCATCAAATGGGCAGGATGGGGGACTATCCTGTCAGCGAGGGGGAATACCTAACCGGAGGACCACCCCACGCTCAATATTCGCGTGGCTTCAAAGCCCAAGACCGTCAAACCCTTCACACTCCAGACAACACCCCCTAACACCCCAACTTTTCCGGAATTCCCCCCTTTTTTCTTACCTTCTATTGCAGTCAAAAAATCCCACATTCCCACACCCTTTTTCCCAGATGAGCACAAACAGGCCTCCCATAGGGAAATCGCAAGTAAGGAGGGGGGGCTTTTTTAATTTTATACAGGGGCAGGTATGGGGACCCGGTAGATAATCCTAATCTATAATCCTTCAGTATGTATGCGTGTGTGTGTGTGTGTGTGTGTGTGTGTGTGTGTGTGTGTGTGTGTGTGTGTGTGTGTGTGTGTGTGTTGAAAGGCCTTCCACGATTCAGACCCCAAATTCGGGTCTCAGGGATAGGCCCTGGCTATGAAAGGCCGAAGTCAGTCAATTTCAGAAAAGTCACAGCCGGGTACCTCAGCAGTCCAGTCCAACAGGCACCCAGCAAACAGTCACATCTTAGGGGCAAGAATCACGTTTCATAATGGAAAGTCATATAGAAGAGTCACATCCCACGAGTAAAAGGGCAGTTCCACAGGCAAGAGTCGTGATCCAGAGGCAGGAGTCACCGTCCACAGTCAAAACCGTATGCCAAAGTCGAAAAGTCATGACTCAAAGGACCAAGCAGCAGCAGACCAATGGAAATTCGGGAAGGTTCCAGGCCTTGACATTCGGAAGCAGACAGGCCGTGGGGATGTGGTACCGAACCCAGTCAGGTCCCAAGAAGCAGAGGCTGGCACAAGTTGAAGTGCAATCCAAGGCTACAAAAGGACTGGCCAGCCTCCCATTCGGGCAGATTGCTCATTCGCATGAAGTGTGGAAGTGCTGGTGCACTTGTGCGCTATTGTGAGGGGCAGAGCACTGAAGCCAGAGTGCTGCGCTAAGAGAGAGGGAGAGAGAGGAAGAGATTGCGCTGGCAGGGAGAAGGCAGCCATAGCTGCGCCAGTGCAGAGTGTTAGTAGTAGACTTTAGAGGGTTAGTAGACATATCAGTGGGTGTATTCAGAGTAGATCCTTGAGTAGAGTTAGTGAGTGTGCATGCATGTAGGGAGAGAAGACACAGCGAGGACATAGCTAGGGAGAAGACCAGTGAGGAGAAGAGATTCATAAGAGAGAAGAGCAGTGGGAAAGAGATACTTACCTGAGAGCTTATGCTGGTTACTGGTTACCTTTCGTATGCGCCGATGAGCGCTGGTGACTTTGCTCTTGTAATTCCTTGTTGGAATTCTGAGCTGCGCTACATGGTCTTCATCTCTCTAGTCTCCAGTGTGAATCTCGTGTGATCTCATACATGCATGTGGTGTCATTGTGTGCACTCAATGATGCTGAACTAAGAGGCTCGTTGCAGTGTGTGTGTGTGTTGGGGGGGGGGGGGAGGGGGGGCGAGGGGTTTAAAAGTATAGTCAAGCTGTAAACTGAATTTTGAAATACAGACATTTCTCGTGTGCAATTGTATTCACGGGAAAAGTGTGGCGGTCAGGGAAGTAGATTGTGGGGTACTCATATGACTTGCTTTCTTTCCTTCTTTCAACTTGACCTTGATTCGCTCCAGCCTTTCTGAAGTAGATGGTGGGGTACCCATAGAACTTGCTTTCTTTCCTTCTGTCAACTTGACCTCGATCCGCCCGCCTTTCTGAATGGCATGCCTCATTGCTATTTTTAGTACGACTATGGTCTTCTGCTACGTCAAACAGAATTTCTGTCCTTTGGGGTTATCTCAACTTTGTGCATTTTTTTTGTAGTACATACGAGCAAACGAACAAACAAACAAAAAAACGTTCTCATGTGCTTTCGGTTTGAGTGAGACCTTGTGAATTACTCAGCATTGTTGGTGCATCAACCCAGAAAGAAAAAGACAAAAGACTTGAGTGCATTTGCATGCAAGCATTCATCATTGGGTGCGCATGCATGCTCCTTTGTGATCATACAGATGACGATCGTGGGCGCTTATACACCTCTGCCAACTGCCCTGCACTGGTTAATCATGAAGGGCATGGAGTCTCCCCGGTGAGTTTGGAAACCGTAAGTGAACGAATTTGAAGAGGAAAGCCCACCTAGGTTAGCTTTGAGAATTAAGATCTCTGGTTGTACTTCTGTGATGAACACCACTGTTATGGGTGATGTGCTTGATTGATGATCTACGTAGAATGGAATTGAAACGGTATTCACCAGTTCGGAGTAGCTGATGCAGAGCCCAGGGCTCGATCCCTAGATCCCCACCTTACCTGTGTACAGTACCTGTGTCAACCCATAGAGTTGAACCTGCGACCTGTAGGATCGCCAGTGGTAGGTAGGACGTCGTAGGTTACAGGGTATAGGGGATTCGAACTGTAGACCTGTCGGGTAGGAGTCTAGACAGTCCAGAGGTCGTAGCTGTAGACTTTCCGAAGGGTCAAAGTCGTAGCTGCTACTTACCTGAAAGGGCAGAGTCGTAGCTGCTACAGTACCGAAAAGCCAAGTAGAGGTTTCTAGAAGTGGCCTTTCGGAAGTCAGCCCACCGTAGGTCCAGGCAAGTGGGCAAGTGGTGGAAGTCCACCATGCAGAGTCAGCATTCCCAGTCCAGTCAGTCCGGTCCAGTCAAGCAAGTACCGTCTGGGATTGTGTACACTGCGGGCTAGGGAAAGAGGGCAGACCGACGAGTCACAGAAGTATAAATCAAGAGGCCGCGCACAGCCATTCATTCATTCCTGCGGAAGCCATGCGGAAGCGCTGTCTCAGCATCTTGTGCGAGGAGGTCTGCAGTAGGGCCGAGGTCGAAGTGGGCGAGAGTGACGAGGTGTAGCCATAGCGATAGGGTAGAGGCAGCCAGCGCTGCCATAGCCGTAGCTTAGGGTGAGGTGTGTGTGTGTTGTGTGAGTGTTCGGAGTGTCGCGTGTGGGATATCCAGGGTGATCCAGTGTGTGTGAACAGTGGGTTGTTGGGCGCTGAGTCGCCATAGCCAGTGGAAGTGAACTCTTACCTGGAAGCCATATCTCTGAGTACTGTGTGGGCGCATGTCGCCAGTTTGCTTTGCTGCTGTTTACATACATGAAAAGTGTGAATGAGACGGGTCTGATTGCATTGGTATCGAAGCTGGTTCCCGCTATTCCATGCGCGAAGTCGTGTGCAGGGCCTGAAGCGCCATAGCGAAGGTGGCCGCCGAGGGACACAGTCCGCCATAGCAGACCTGAGGGTGGAGAAGCTGCCGCGCACCTGCAAGGAGACCACGACGAAGAAGAAGACTGAGAGAGAGAGAGAGAGAGAGAGAGAGAGAGAGAGAGAGAGAGAGAGAGAGAGAGAGAGAGAGAGAGAGAGA